CACACACACACGCGCACACACACCCGCACACACACGCGCACACACACGCGCACACACACCCACACACACCCACACACACACCCACACACACCAACACACACACACCCACACACACACACCCACACACACACCCACACACACAGACACACACACAGACAGACATACAGACAGACACACAGACAGACACACAGACAGACACACAGAAAGACACACACAGACACACACAGACACACACAGACACACACAGACACATACAGACACACACAGACACACACAGACACACACAGACACACACAGACGCACACAGACACACACAGACACACACACAGGAACACACAGACACACACACAGACACACACAGACACACACAGACACACACAGACACACACACAGACACACACAGACACACAGACACACACCACACACACCACACACACCACACACACCACACACCACACACACCACACACACCACACACACCACACACACCACACACAACACACACAACACACACAACACACACCACACACAACACACATCCAACCCAAAAACCCACCCACAAGTAATAAACTCACACACAAATGCCACACACACCACACACATCACACACACCACACACACCACACACACCACACACACCACACACACCACACACACCACACACACCACACACAACACACACAAGACACACAAGACACACAAGACACACAAGACACACAAGACACACAAGAAACACGAGAAACACAAGACACACAAGACACACAAGACACACAACACACAAGACACACAAGACACACAAGACACACAATACACAAGACACACAAGACACACAAGACACACAAGACACACAAGACACACAAGACACACAAGACACACAAGACACACACGACACACAAGACACACACGACACACAAGACACACAAGACACACAAGACACACAAGACACACAAGACACACAACACACAACACACACAACACACACAACACACACAACACACACAACACACACAACACACACAACACACACAACATACAACACACAACACACACAACACACAACACACACAACACACACAACACACACAACACACACAACAGACAACACACACAACACACACAACACACACAACACACACAACACACACACACAACACAACACCAACAACACACACAACACACGATCAACACATAGACACACAACACACACAACACACACACAACACACAACACACACAACACACACACAACACACACAACACACACAACACACACACAACACACAACACACACAACACCACAACACACACAACACACACAACACACACAACACACACAACGACACACAACACTCCAACACACAACACACACAACAAACACTACACACACAACACACACAACACACAACACCACAACACACACAACACACACCACACACACAACACACACAACACACAACACACACACACACACAACACACAACACACAACACACAACACACAACACACACAACACACAACACACAACACACAACACACACAACACACACAACACAACACACACAGCACACACAACACACACAACACACAACACACACAACACACACACAACACACACAACACACACACAACACACACAACACACACAACACACAACACACAACACACATAACACACAACACACACAACACACACAACACACACAACACACACAACACACACAACACACACAACACACACAACACACAACACACACAACACACAACACACACACAACACACACACTGACACTGTGGGACAACAAAACACACTGTGGGAAAAAAACGCACGGTGTGTTTTTTTCCTTAGTGTGTGTTTTCCCCACGGTGTGTTTTTTCCTCCAACTCCGCCTCCTATCTGCTTCGCCTCTCCGACTCCACTCCGACTCTGGTCTCCGACTCCCGCACCCGCCCTTCCGACTCCTGCCTCGACGGCGTCTCTACAGTGGGGGCGCGCCTCAAGAAGCCATGTGCTTTTCGTCGGGGTATCCTGGGTTTCTTCGCTCCGCGCGCTGCTCGGTGACTGTCCCGCAGCCGTTGCAGAAGCTGCTGCGTTCAGGGCGCTCCCGGATTCCCCTCCGGCGCGCACCTCGCGCGCGGGTT